ATAAATAGTTTTGGGATTTTCTGAACTTGTGTCTGGCCTAAACAACCATGGAAACTGAAGTTACTCTCCATCCTCTTATTAAAAGAATGACTATATATATATATATATACACATACACATACACACATATAAATTGGTTGTTTTGACACAAGAGTGGTATTCACTTATAGATGAATTTTAAAATCAATTTATCTTGTAGGCCCTAGAATCAAGAGTATTGAAAACATGAAAGGTGCTTGTTAGGAGTTTGGGTGTAGAAATGCCAGACTCCTGTCTCTTGAGTTGCATGTCAGAGGCAGAAAAGTATCCACAGAGTATCTTATGTCTGTGGATCCATGATTACTCTACTTTTTAGGAGAATGAGAAGAATAAAAATAAAGAATTCTTTACTATTCTTTGTGGGATTTATAAATCCTTTGATTGTTTTCTTTTCCTCAAGAAAAGTGACACTGGAAATTTAAAAAAACAATCAAGTTCAAGATAGTATGGTTTTTTGTTTTTGTTTTTTTTTAGGTGGAAGAAGGAAATAGAAAAGCCATTAGGCAACTCTAATCTTTTGACTAATGTTGTATACCATGTTAGGCAGCATGTTTGGTGGAAGGTACTATATATCAACTCCTTCAGGAGTCCTTACTTTGTCTGCAGTGAGTCCTGTTTTAGCAATATAATATCAAATGCATTCTTGTGCGGAAGGAACCTCAATAGTCTTCTGAAAACTTTTGGTGGTCTGCTTTATGACTTGCTAGACAATTGATGCTTTAATGATGTTGTATATGCTGAGCATTAATCCCCACCTATACTTTAAGCATGTTCAGTGCTTGCGGAACTTCTCAAACTTCAGCATTTTTGGTGATATGCCTTTTGCTGAAATAATAAATTCCTGGGATTCTTTATATTTGTAGAATTTAGAATTTTGCTTTTCTCCTTTTATTTTTGTTTATTCTTTTAGTAAACATGGGAGTATTGAAGCAATACTTTATTAAATTGAATTCAAGTAATATCTAAGGCTACAGTCTGATATACTCTAGGATGTTTTTTCCATCTGTTTGGTTTAGAAGATTAGAATTTTCTATAGATTGAATTTGAATGAACAGGGCTTGTCTATATTTGGATTATTTGGAATTTTATTTTACTTTTCTACTACTTTCTGACATTTCCACAGGTAAACGATAAGTGAGCGTGTATACACCCTTTTTTGGACTTGTGGTAATAAATTAGGACAGTTCATCATTAGATTTATGATGAATCTGTTGGCTTACAAAAGTTCACTCCAGTGGAGTCATTTTCCTTTTGAGATTGCCTAATACTAAACTTGGACATTCTGTTTGAAGTTACTTTGTGGTAGCAACATTCCAGAGCTTTGTTGGTCCAGACTGGCCGTTTGAAAGAATCTTCAAGGTGCTTCTGTCTGGTTATGAAAATAATTGTATATGCATAAAAATCAATATATTCTCCTAAATTGACCCGTAATGAAGTGCTCCTCATGTTAAGTCTTGAGGAGAATTCATTAAACAACAGCACAGAGAGATTTTTCTCTCTGAAATTGACAATTTAGCTTATTGCTATTGCTACATTGTCTGTAGGTTTGCCTTCATTATTGTTTTTTAAATATTGAAACAATGCTTTACAAGTTTATTTACAAGTAAAATACTCTTCTTAACCCTGTAGGAGTTGGAACTTCAGAATCTTTTTGGGGGGAAGAGAATATGGGGGGGGTAATATTGAGAAAGGCTTAAGGAGAAATGAATGTCACTTAATAAATGTACCCCCTATTAATGTGAGTGTATTGGTCAACCTTTTTTTTGCGGGGGGAGCAGGGGATGGGGGTTGAAAACTAAAGATGGAGTACCTTTTCAAAGGCACTAGAGGTCCTCAGTTGACTATGAGTATGCTGTACATCCAGGCTTCATTTTCATGTGTTTATTTGGTAACACATGCTTCAGAATTATTCTGAGTAAGAACTTTGATGTGCTATTTCTGCAAATATACAAAGAGACTACATCTTATCTAATTTATACCACTGTAATTTAGAAGGATTATTTTCTTGATTTTTCTACCTTTGGGTTTACTTTGCTAGTATGATCATTTCTTTGTTAATTCACAGTTTTGATGAAAGTTAGGGATTTTTGTAGCAAATAACAAAGCAAGATTGATTAAACATGTCAAAACAAATAGTTTTGGACATTTAAAATGGTAGAGTATGGGGAGGGGGGAATTCAGAAATAAAACTGAGGAATGCTGAGGACTGAGGATTTAATAGGGAACCTAGAATAAAGTATCGAAATGTGGTTTTTGTGAAAGTTTTGAGGAGATATTAACTTGGATTTTAGGTATCAGATGAATTGAAGGCATGAGTATTTTAGCAATAAAACAAATAAAAAGAAACTTTGATTGATTGGGGTATGTTATGATTTTTTGAAGTCTGTGCAGTTAGTTTGAATTTTGTCTAACTGCAGTTAGTTATTTTGCTTAATAACTAAGGACATCTGTAATGTTCGTATATTTCTGGTTTTGAAAATGATCAGTAGAATATAATTTAGGCTATTAAGAATGTAATGCCTGATGTATAAATTGAATTTAAGTGAAATGGAATGGTTTTAAATTAAAATAGAAGTTTGTATTCTCTGAATTTGCCTTTTAGAGTATCATTTACAGTGTTTGGGGGCTTTCAAATTTGGTTTATCAGTGTCATGATTTACTTCAAGCCATGCTGGTCAATATATAGAGGATGTGCATGTGGCTTAGTGACAAAACCTAAACTTCTGCTAAGGTTTCCCTGTTTTCTTAGTTATGTGATCTTGAGCAGTTCACCTTTTTGCATCGTTCCTAAATTGTAGAATAGGGATGCAGTATCAAATATATAATTAAAAGGACCAAATAAAATATTTGTGTACACCAGTACATTAGGAAATTGTTCTTTAAGAAGAAGTTTTAATTGGCCCTCCTCATTTCTGGGATTGGTAATATATTGTCTAATTTAGAGAGGTAACTAGACTTTAAATTTGTTTTTAAATTAAAAATTTAATATATTACATAATTTAGTATTACATGTGTAATTAGTACATTAAAACATTAAAATACATTAAAATTTTCTGAAACCATTGTGTTTATGCAATATTTTCTTATTGTTTCTTAATCTCGCTAATTAAAGATATGATTATATACCCAAATGCGATTATTTTCCTTTATGCCTACTAAAATACAAATAAAATAGATTTGATATTTGATTTTGGGAAATGATAGTGCTGTCACGCCTTTTAGTAAAGCATGTACTCTGACTCATGTGTTTATAAAACTTAACACTTCTTAATTTAAACATTTTATATTTTTCCCATTTATTTCATCTAACACTTTTTTAAGCACTTACTTTTAAACCACATGTCTTCATAAACAAAGACAATACTTAACTGGCAACTTAAGGTATAGATGAATTAGTTGGGACATAATGTATGGTACTACCACATTATGTTTGAAATTTTAACGGTCTCTGTAACTGGAATTTCTATTAACTGAGACATACTAGTGAGCTAAGGGTAACTTTAATAGAATTTCTGCTCTATCCAGAGGTTGTGTACTTTTTAGAGCAATATGTGATAAAGCGAAATTCTGATACAATAAAATAACTCATGAACACCCAATTTGAAGTGTGAGAATGTAATTTGATATTTGAATAAAAATGCACAAATAAGCATATAAGACACCTACACTGAATGACTTTTGTGTAATAGCAAAGGAAAATTATGAGTATAGAGATATGGAGATGCAATTAGGATACCTCAATGGTAGACAAAAATTATGTTTTTGTATGTCTTAAGGAAAACCGCTTACAGAATTACAAAGTTCGTATTTGTAGTGAGCAAGAGAGTTAACATTTGTCATGGGAATTGAGAATTTTAGAGGTAAATTTTAACATATATATAAAATATGAAAGTTAAAATAAATAAAATATATGTAATTTTCTGTAAGCCCTGACAGAGATCTGAGAATGAGGAAACGTTTCATTTACTAAATTGAGGATTGTAACTTAAAGAATAGGGTAGAATTCAAACGGAAGTCATAAAATTGATTGTGGCATCTCCATTCCTGGCATTTATTTTATTTTCTCCTTTCTTTCTAAATCTCAGAGAGGAAATGGAGTAACACTGGAGGATAATAACTTGACAAAATTATAGGCATTAATAGACAGAAATCCATTTAATCAAATTTGTGTGAAAATAAGATACTTAAGAATATTCATGTGTCAAAATAACTTTTTAAAGTGTCTATTCTCTAACAGATTTTTATGTGTTTGTGAAAAGTGTTTTAAAATTTCTAAACTTCTTTATGATACAATATTCAATTTAATATCAGTAACTCAATTTATTAACAGCATGGAATTTTTAGAAATGTTTCTTAAAAGGTGACTGGACTTTAGACGGGAAACATCCTCAAGGGCACTTTAAAAGTAGCTTGTATTATATATTCTTAAGCTCCATTTCATTATTATTCACTGTATGAGATTATGATAATATTGCAATAGGCATGCTGATAATGTGCATGTTTGTAGTCAAATGACTATTCATATTAGTTCAAATGTAAATAACTCAGTTCTGCACTATTTCTCAGCAGAGCAATAAATAACAAAATTAAGTCATTGTTTTTGTGTGGAGACATTAACCACTGCTGCCAAATATGGTAACATAATTGGAAGATTTTTTTAATTGGCAGAAATTCACATTTGAAAAGCAAAATAAAAGTGAAAGTTAAATTAAAATGACAAACAAATAACCAGGATCAAAGATGAATATGACCTTTTTCATTTCAAAGTTGTCTCATTTTTACTGTCACTAAATGGATAAGCATTTATAAATTTAAGCACTTTGTCATGTCATTTTATTGCTTAAGTTTGAACTGATATTAATAAAATTAACTTATTTTAAAAGTTCAGATTATAGAAATTATAGGAATTAAAGAATTACAGAAAGTAAGAATTACCAAAGTCAATAAAATCTGTTTCTTACCTTGGCTGCTGTGATCATCACAATATAGAGTATTGTGTTGTATGAAGTCTTATGGGTGTTTAGCTGGGGAGTTTTCTGACTCTGTCACCCGGTTTATGGGAACAGTTGCAGTAGGTGGAGGAGAAAAAGTGTTCTAGGGAGGTCTTATGATGTCACATAGGAATTCTGAAGTTTCGATTGGTTAGCCATAGACTTAGTCTCAGCACAACCAAACTTTAGAACTTCTTACTTTAGGTATGGAAAAGTCATTAACACTTTGTGCTTCATCTTTTGTTTCTAATTTAAAACAGTATATGGCAGATAAATGAAAAAAAATAAATAAATTTGAGGTGGTAGAAAGCTTTTGTTAAAGATTCATGCATCTTCAGGCTTAGAGATAATTGAATATTAATGGTGAAGATGTTGAAGAGCCAAAATAGTTACTACAGGAATTTTAATTATGAGAAAAATAAACACAAGTATAAGCAAAACAACTTTCATTGAATTCTTGCTGCTGTTGCTTTAATACCACGTCTTCATAATGTTAGCTTTCAACAAGACAATAGTGAAATATTTTTACACAATCAAATTTTATACCTATTTTCTTATTTTGTTGTATGTATGGGAGAAGGAGTGTGTATGAGGAAATCAGGCTAGTAACTGCTTTTTGTTTTAAAAAATGATTTTTATCTTACAGTTAAAGAACTAATAAATGTATTTAATTCATTTATGTTTTCTTCAATTAGCAGTTTAACAATATATTTGTGAATGGTAATTCTTATATTTAAACTGATACATATAATCCCCCCCAAAATAACAATATGCTACTTTTAAGTATTTAAGATTTTTTTAAACAGTTGCATTAAATTGTTACACAATCTTCATAAATTTTTTACAAACAGATGCAGTATTAAGGGCAACTTTATAGCAAAAAAGAAATAATTACAGATTCCAAATCAGTTGCATATCAGTTAATGAGGCTTTATAGGTTTGATGTGTTGAAATTTAAGTTTTGTAATGTTTTTAAAAGGATGTGCCTCATTTAATCTAGCAGGTGCTTTCCTGAATATTACTATACAAATGAGATACTAGTAAGTGAGGATATTTTGAACTTCCTAGAACAGTTTATCTTACAGTAGAAATGGGGAAATAATTTTTTTGTAAAGCCGGGCATCATTCTCCTCTGTTTATCTAATTTGTTGTCTTACATGTTAGATTTACTTAAGTCACCACACTTGAAAATATTCTTAAATCTCTTCTTTAATTTTAGAGGAGGTACTTGCAATCTTTAATTTTTTAAATGCTTATGACAGAGTGAACTTAGCCCACTTCACTTTCTTATGGGTAACTAAAATGTGTAGCAGCAGCTGCTTATGTGCCCTTAAATGGAGATGATCTTGGCTTCTTCCAAAGAAAGAAAATCCATCTCTAGAGCAAATCATTTGTTATTTAAAGAATCAGCTTAAAACTAAGTGAAAAATAATATTTTAGCAAAGATACTCTGTGAACATTGCCAAGGGAAAATTTACAACTTAAAAGTAAAACCCAAGTTAAGGAAATCGCATGAATAATGTTTGTTACTTTTCTTAGTGCTGCAACCATTTTTCTTTCAATCCTTACATAATGAGGATCTCTCAGTACCATCAGTTACCAATGATGATTGATAATATAAAACCTAGAAACCTAAAGAGGTTTACAGTAATTTGTCAGAGATAACCAACCGCTAAAGAACAGACAGAGGATTCAAATCCAGATCTGTCTGTTTATAATTCCTAATCTATTGGCATATTGTGGGAAAAAATTATAATTTGAATATAGCTTTCATTAGAGTAGCCTATAGTAACTAAGAAATTTTTGAGATGAAAATAGGTGCATTCTTGAGCACTGTTAATAGTTTTAGAAAGTCTGCTTTAAGTTTGTCTACCAGTTATACATTCATTTGAAATTTAGGTGATCATTGTTCTAAGAACTTCTCATTCTAAGAAAATGGAATTAGTAATACTTAGTTTGGATAAACCAAGAAGCTGCCATAGATTGAATAAAATATGCCCTAGTTACCACGAGTTTACAAGTTTACTTAAAAAAGATACATAGGCATATATACACCTTAGAAGGATACTAACAACTGTGTGTGACATAGTTGGAAAATGGATTCAAAAAATTAACTTTTATATTGGTATAAGAGTGGGGAGTTTTTGTGTTTACCTTTTTCCTTTGGGTTAGCTAGTGAAGATGACGATGATGGTGATCCCACGTGGAAGTCTAGGAAGTATTATATTTTCATTTTAACTAAACATTGTTTTTATTGCCCAAACAGAAAGTTGTTTAATAGAAGTATTAATGAGTTATAGTGTTATCAGTAGACTGTTCCTCAATGATTCCTCAACTAGAGGCTGGAAATTTTTTTTGAGGTGCTTTGTCGCAATCTTCATTTGGAGTCACACTATAGTTTGAATGTATTTTTGGTCACATGACTTTATACAAATAACTTCCTTAAGCAGCTTAATCTGTGCAGTAGTATTTGTGATGGTTTAATGACACGAAGTGTACATAGTGATTATCAGAGATCCTGCAACAGTGTTCATTTAGTGTTAGTACTTATTTTCTTTTTTCCTTTAGAAGGTGGATTCTTAAGGATAAAGTGTCTTTGAACTTGGATGGGAAAATAATTACAAATTTATTTTTACTAAGCTCTAAATGGAATTTAGTATTTCCTCAGTTTTAACTGAATCCTGGGTTCATGTCTTCACTTTTGTTTTTATATAGTTTTGTAGCATTTTAAATGTATTCCTCAAAAGTATTACTAATTTTTTTTTTTTGGAGGCAGAGTCTCACTCTGTCACTCAGCCTAGAGTGAACGGTGTGATCTCGGCTCACTGCAACCTCCGCCTCTCGGGTTCAAGCGATTCTTCTGCCACACCCTACCAAGTAGCTGAGACTATAGGCATGTGCCACCGTACCCTGCTAATTTTTGTATTTTTAGTAGAGATGGGGTTTCACCATATTGCCCAGGCTGGTCTCAAACTCCTGACCTCATGATCTGCCCGCCTCAGCCTCCCAAAGTGCTGGGATTACAGGTGTGAGCCACCGCACCCGGCTGTGTTACTTTTTGTAAAGGACACTGTGACGTATGTAGTAATCTTTTACGTTGAGTATTTAAACTCCAGTCTGTAGTGGTGTATCTGGAGGGTAAAGAAGCTTCAAGATAGAACAGTTTTTTGGAAATTTTTGACTAGAACTTAATTTAAGTGATGACTAAATTAAAGCATTTTAATATTTAGACAGATATACAGTAAAATACAAGCTTCAAATCAATTTTTGTGTTGTCCACAATACATCAAAGATAAGGAGTTTTTTTAGATTAGATCTCCTAGACACCCAGGAGGAAGAGTTTATCTAGCTCTTGAGGATACTTGAGGGCTTGATAATTACCATCTTAAATTTTTAAGCTACGTAGGGGGAAGGACTGGTTCAAAAAACATCTAAGCAAAACTGCGAATGAGAATAGTGGTCTGAGATTGAGAGGATGGAAATTCTCTTCCTAGGGCAATAGGGAGGAGGAAATAAGATTTACTCATTAACTGGGGTGGGGAGCTGTGAATACAACCCAATGATAAAGTAACCTATAAAGCTTAGGGGTCATTTTGGGGAGCTAGTTTCACTTTTCACTTGATTTGCCAGATAATCTGGAGACCCAAACATTTTATTTTTTCATAAATATCTGAATTCTTGACAAATTCTCTTTCCTTATCTTGATGAGGGGTGGAGAAGAGAGTCAAGAGAAGCCAGATGGATTAAGAAAAGGACTCATATAGGTCTACATAATTTTTGGAAAGTTATTAAACATTCTAAGTGATAGAAATGCTATAACATGCTACGTGGCTTCAAGGAAATTGTTGTTTATCAGTATACAAGTAATATGGAAATGAAAATTTAACATGTGGAAAGTAACCACTAGTGCAAGATAACACCAGGAGAAAAAGAAATTCCCAATTGAGAGTCAAATGAGCACGTGTAATAATAAGCAGTATGACTTCTAAGAGAAGTGTATGTTTTGTACAAAGGAAACAGAACCAAAGCCAAAAATAACAAAGGGAAACACATACATCACAAAACAAATTTAACAACAAAAACCAACCCTTAGGTCTCCAGATACTTGCTTCAAAATTCTATCGAGTCCAGATCATGATGCTGTTACATTGTTAAGAAGGTTCCAGTTCAATTTAATGGTTGTAGTGTTTCTCCAGACACATTAAATTTCTTATCTTTGTGGTTGATATCTCAGCCCTTTGAGCTCCTCGCATTCGCAAACTTTGTGGTGGCACCATCACTGATTTTGATACAAAATTGAAATTGGAGGCTCATACCTTTTCTGGGTTTTACCAGACTCCCCATTCACTTAGAAACCAAATGCACATTGTGAAATACAAGTCTTTGTTCTCATAGCCTGACCAACTGTCCTCTTAACTTTCATAGAGGTTTATTAACTAGTTTTTCTACCCTCCGTCATGACCCTGTCCTACTCAGTTTTTACTCTGATATCCAAGTGCACATCTGATTGTCATTCATACGCTAAGAACTTTTCATTGATTTCTCTTTCAAGATGAAAAACCCACTCTTTACAGAACTACAAAAAAAAAACTCCTGATCTGTCCATTGCCATGTATGCCTCCCATAACGATTTGACAACTCTGCCATTATATGTTATTTCTTCTATCTGAAATATTTTCCTTACTGTCTTGTTCTTACGGAACTCCTTCATTATTCAGAATTAGGTGGGGAGAAGCCCTGTTTTGCTTGTTCTTAATTTCTAATTATATAAGTAATAAGTGAATATCTCTTATAATTCAGAAAAGTCAGATAAATCTGAAGTCGGAGGGGGACTTTCTATATTATATAGGTATATTTATTTTCTTTGTCATAAACTTCATGAATAGAGACTGATTTATTTTTTCTAAGCTCTACACACTGCTTATCCCTTAGAAGGCTCAATAAGATATTTTTATAGTTAATGAATATTTAGAATATTGTTTTTCCATTACAAGTGAACTCATAAAAAGGGTAAGTTGAAAGAAGAGAGAATAAAGGCCCTCAGAAACTTAGATAAACTAATTTTCTTTGTCCCTAATGATTGCCTCTGAAAATATTTTTCTAATATTTTCACTTAATTCTTTAACTTGTTCACACTTTGACATGTGTGTAACATCAAAAAACAAAATTTCAACAAATTGAGTCTAATTATCTAATTGGCTTTGATTAATGATTCATGAATTGGGCAGTATGTCTATCATAGGCCATCAGATGAGCTAAGTGGAGGAGGTGGGCTTTCTAGGCAGAAAGAGGCTAAAGAAAGAAGGAACAAAAAGTGAATTGGTTATTATAAATTACTTATAAGGTTAAAACAGACTTCTTTATCATGCTAATTCAGGTAAACTGGGCCCTTTCTGATTGGTTGCTGTGAATATCCTGTTGTTTTTGGAAAACTTGCTGATATTGAAGTTCAGTTTGATTATGTGGCTCCCAGCAGGAGTGGCTCCATTCTTGTTTGGTCTGGTCTGTTAAGACTGAGTTCAAAACAAACCAGAGTGACTCCATTCTGGTTTTGTGTGGGCAATTAAGGCTCAGTCCAAAACAATGGCTTTCCA